TGGCCTGACTCCCACCCACCAGGGGGCAGGGACAGGGTGGGTGCAGAGGGGTGCAGGGTGGCAGCTGTGGCCACCTAGGGCCAGGGTAGGGAACAGCACGGCAGAGCCAGGCTGGGCGGGCTGGGCCTGAGGGCGCTGCATCTTCGGGTCTGAGGTCTCAGAGGGGCTTCACACTGACCCACAGCGAGCAAAGGAAAACCGCAGGCTTCTCCCCTTTCCCAGAGTTGGCACCTGCACTCCTGGGCTTAGTCCCACATGGCGTCCTGAGCCAGAGGTACCAGGGTAGCAGAAGGGACAGGCTGCAAATCTGGCTCTGCCCACCTGGGGCGGGCACTGGCTCTTGCACCCGCTGCCCTGGGTCCCCATGGCCCGCCTGGATCCCCACGGCCTGCCCCGGGTCCCCACGGTGCCTACCACACTCCTCTTGGCAGTGTCCTCCAAGGACTGGGTCACTCTTAGCCTCTGTTTAAACCGCATCTGCTCAATGTCACTGGCCCTCAGGCTGCCGAATTTCTACAGGTCAGAGGTGACACTGTGAGACCAGGCCTGGCAGAGCGAGGGCCGCCCCACTGCTCAGGCATGGAGGCCTGGCCACACGGCCCAAGGGGTGCTGACCTCATAGGACGCTTTCAGGAGGTCGAAGACGTCCACCTCTGCAGGAGGGTCATCCCCGCTGGTTAGCAACGCATGCAGGTGGGGGATCGGGGGTGAGACACTCTGCTTGTTGATCACATTGTCCAGGTACCTGAAAGGTAGGGGACAGCTGTGTGGCCAGGCCAGGAGTGGAGACCAAGGCCTCGCCCCCAGCTTAGACGGAACACCAACTCTGTGGGTGCCAGGCTGTCTCTGGGGTCCTACGGGTGGGTCCCCAGATGCTGTCTGGATGGGAAGACGACATGCTTCCTTCCCAGGGACGGAAGGGTTGTGTTCCATAAGGCTGGGGTCAGGCCTGCTGTGTGGTGTCCACAGGGCCCAGGGACGCTGGCTGCTGGTACAGTGCTGGGGAGAGGCTGTCCCTCAGGCACCTGGCGTGCGCTGGCCTGTGCTGGCCCTCTAGGCTGTCTGGGCAGAGCCTGACAGCAGTGGTGGCTGGTCCCCATGCCCAAGGGCCGGGCCCTGTTCCCAGTCAGGCTCTTGCTCCTGAGAGGCCTGAAAGCCAGTCTCAGACGCAGAGGAAGGAGGTGACAACCTTGCCAGCTCTATGGGGTCCCAGTTGGCACCTGGCGGCTCAGGGGACAGCAGCAGTGTCCCAGCCCTCTCTGGTGGCCGGAGCACTTCCGATTCAGCAAATGCACCCACGCAGGCTGGCGGGGTTGTACAGAGCGAGTTGAGATGGGGCTGGGGCTGGTCAGGCAGGGAGCTTGGCTCTCTGTACAGAGGGCCACGGGTACAAGACAGCCCCCCAGGGGCCGGCAGGCGGTGTGGTGGTAACAGGTGCTAGACTCCCACATGGCTGATCGTGGTTCAGGTCCCAGACCTGGTGGCTTGCTTTCTCTCCCTCTCTCACCCTCACTCTGTCCCTCTTTGGTCAAAATAAATAAATAAATAAATAAATAAATAAATAAATAGATAGATAGATAGATAGATAAATAGATAAATAGATAGATAGATAGATAGACAGACAGATAGATAAGCAAAGAGAGCTCCCCAGGTCCCAGCAGGGACAGAGCCAGAGCTTGTCAGAAAAGGTGCCATGGGACGCTGGCAGCTGGGAGTCCTGGGCAGAGAAAGTACCCAGGATGAAGCAGGTCTGGCCTAGGGCAGGAGGTCATGGGCCTGCCTAGGGACAGGGGGGGGGTGGAGGAGGAGCTGGACCCCAAGAGAATCTATGGGGGCCAGGGTGTAGGAGCGGTAGGACAGCGGGGGGATGCAGGAGGACTGAGCCTCGGTGTGGCCAATGGTGTCCGCTCCTTCGGTGTCATGGCGAGGCCAGACGGGAGTGGGGCCCTTTGTGGAAACAGAGGCCTTCTATAAAGTGCCATCTCACGACTGCCCACGGAATGGTTCTGTCTAGCTCATGTCCTTGGCACGCATCTCGGCCGCAGCCCTGCAGCGGGGGTGCAGGCACTCGGGCCCAGCTGTGCTTCCTTTCAGAGCTTTGTCCCTGTGAGCAGGCCTCATCTCCCACTAGAAAGGAAGCTCTTGCCCTGGGGTGTCCCCACTGGTGACCGAGCAGCCCAGGGCTGGGGACGGGCAGGAGGCTGGCGTGGTCACCTGCCCAGGACGGTCATGGCCTCGCCTTCGTCACTGCAGTGCAGCAGCTGGTCTGAGTTGGCATCCAGGACGGCCAAGGCCACCTGCAGGATGACCTTGATGCCCTCGTAGAAGAAGCAGTCGACGATGACCACGGCGCTCTCGAAGGGCATGACGCTGAGGAAGAGGGTCAGGAACCAGGGCAGCGAGATGCTGGAGATGACCCCCAGGTCCTGCATCTGCCCCGCCAGCTGGGGCAGGAAGTCCCTCGCCAGCTCTTCAAAGATGCCCTGGTCCACCAGGGCCCCTGTGGGGAGGACAGCGCAGGCTGAGCACACGCCATGGCCCTGGGGGCCTGCGGGCTCTGGGTCCGAGCTGCAGGGAGCCACAGGGTCCCTGTGCACCCCCGGCCCTGCAGCAATTCTCACAGTGCAGGCTGGGGTGGGGCTGGGGGGAGGACGGAGAGAACGAGAAAGGAAAATGAGATACTCTTTCTCAGGCCCCTGGACTTGAATCTTCTGGTGGGGAAATGCCACCTTCTCCCTGACACATCGAAAGCAACGATGGCTGGTGACCCGTGTCCTGTCCTGGTGCCTGTGAGCAGGTGTGACTCCGAAGGTCCCCAACAGTGGGGACTGAGAGCACAACAGAGAAAGGACACGGACAGTGGACTGCACCCGCTGCGGAAGGATGTGCTGGGTGTGAGCCGTGGTGCGGGGAGATCTGACAGACATAGCACTGCCACACTGGGTCGCGGGCACTGGGGGTGCGCACGGCGCACACCACACTCTCCAGGTGTGTTTTCGTTTTCATTTTTTTAGATTTTTGCCATAGGTCGTGTCACTTGAGAGAGACAGAGGGCCAGAGCGGAAAGAGGAGGAAGGTGAGACGTCCCCTAGGGAAGCCGCGCCGCGGTCCCGTCTCCATCCTCTCGGTGTCCGGGCACGCACACGCAGCGGACTTGATTCCCAGCGGTTGGGACTGGGACTCGAACCCTGCAGCTGGCTATGTGGCACCTAGTGCCTTGACCAGCATGCCTTCGGCTGGCTCCAATACACTCTCTAGTTTTGACACTGGGCATTCTCTATACTACGACAGCTCAGGAGAAGTTAGAGAGCTGGAATTCAGGCTCTAGGTGGACTTTAACGATCACCACGTGTAATATCCTCCCAATCTCGCTGCCGCAACCCCCAGGGAAACCACACCTGCCAGGGGGAGTCTGGGCCCTGGGGCAGATGGCTGGGGTCCGGGTTAGGCTCCCAACTTTCTGGCCGCAGGACTGCTCTCAGCTCCCTAGCCTGGATGGGCAGTCAGTGTGCTGTCTGCAGGACGGCCAGGGGGTCGGAGCACCCCGTGGACAGGACCGGCACCCCATGGGGAGCCATGATGGGGTGCAGACACTCAGGCAGGCAGCCAGGGAGTCCTGGGGACACCCGCTGGCTAGGGGGAGCCACAGGGGGCAGGTGTGGGGACTTAGGCAGGATGCCCGGGACACCTGCCCGCCACAGGGAGCCACAGTGGAGGGTGGACTTGTGGCAGGGAGCCTGGGGGTGGGGCGGGGGAGCTGAGATGCAGGCAGGGAGCCCACACTCACCCAGCACCCTGGAGTTGTAGTAGTCGGGCAGCATGCGTTCGCAGAGCGCCACCAGGAGCCAGAAGGCCTCCTCCTCGCTGCCGTAGAGCAGGAGCACCGAGGTCACTATGTTCATGGCCTGCAGGCACAGGGACAGGAGGGGCGGTGCACTGTGGCCACCAGGTCCAGGGGTCCCCTCCCCACAGACCACGCCGAGCTCCTGCCGCAAGTCTGGCCAGGGCGGCCATCCCAGTACCACTCTGGGAACTGCCCAAAGGCCACCTGCAGGACCGATTGGACACAGTGTCTCCGATGTCTCCCAACTGCCAGAGGCCGCCACACTGGCACGGTACCTCTGTGGGCACGTCCCGGTCGGAGTGTGTTGCTGGGCCCAGCCGGAAGGCCAGAGCCTTGAACCAAGGCAGCGCCTCCTGGGCTGCAGGGAGGCTGAGGTCAAGAGGGGGCGCACACTCACATTAGCAGTGAGTGGCTGAGGCCTCAAAGCTGGCAAATTATTTTTAAAAATCACTTTATGCCGCCACACCTGCCTCCTGCGGATCAGTAATTTGGCATTTAGGATGCGGATCTGACAGAGCGAGGGCTCATCTGATGTTGCCAGCGGGCTCATGCGCTCACCAGAGAGAGACAGAGGGACACACAGAGCAGGACAGGAAAGCACCCCGCGGAGCAGTCACACGGCGACCCCTCTCCTGTCACGTGTACACAGCCCCTCCGACCGTTACTGTGACACTGAAAGCCACTGAAAGCCGGACTGTGGCAGGTGCCGACGGGAGTGGACAGCCCGGAGCCCTGAGACGTGCTGGGAACCTTCCAGAGCGCAGCTGGGTGGGAGACCTGGAGGCCCATTGCCAAGTTAAACACAGAACCCCCCGTGGGCCGGCAGTCCTGCCAGAGTGGGAGCAGAGACCTGGGGCGCAGCACACCCCGTCCCTGCTGCACCCCTCCTGAGCGCTGGGGTGTCGTGTGCACGGCAGTGGACGACGGGTGTCCACGTTTTTGGGGAACGCAGTCCGCCTTGAAGGGGAGGTGGCTCCGACGTGCCGCAGCACCCGAGGACAGTGTGCTAACAAGGGGACCGTCATCGTGCAGGACAAGTACGCAGACCCTCACGTACGCCGCGGCCTGAGTGGGCCCTCACGTGCGCCGTGGCCTGAGCGGGCCCTCACGTGCGCCGTGGCCTGAGCGGGCCCTCACGTACACCGTGGTCTGAGCGGGCCCTCACATATACCATGGCCTGAGCGGGCCCTCACGTACACCGTGGTCTGAGCGGGCCCTCACATATACCATGGCCTGAGCGGGCCCTCACGTACGCTGTGGCCTGAGCAGGGTTCGGACAGAAAGTGACAATGGCTGTCCCGGGCTCTGGGAAGGAGGTGTAGGAACTGTTTAGTGGGGACGGAGTTCTAGTTTGGAAGATGAAAACGTGCTGGAGATGAGGGTGGCGACAGCTGCATGACGTGAGTTTACACAGCGCTGCTGAACGTCACGCTTGAGAAAGGGTTACCATGGCCGGTTATATACCGTGCAAATACAGGTTTCAATTTGCCAGAGGCGTGTGTACGTGCAGAGGGTGGCAGGAGTGGGAGGGAGAGAAAGTGACAGAGCGGTACACAGGGTGGGGATGGCGGCCACGGTGCGACCCCTTCTCCATTCTCCTTTCGGGATTTTGGGCATGCGTTCCACACGCCTGGCATGATTTTCAAGCTGCTGGGTCAGGATGTGAACCCTGCAGTTGGCCACGTGGGAGCCAGCCACCTTCACTTCCATGCCAACAGCTGGACCTGCTACGCATAATTTAATTTTTAAAAATATGGCCAGGGCCAGCAGATGGCATAATGGCTATGTCGCTGGACTCCCACATGGCCAAGACCCAGTGGCTTGAAATTCACACCAGGTATGTGTGCATGCATGCCCCAAATCCTGAGAGAATGCCGGGACTGTGGTGTGGCCATCCCCCTAGAAGGTGATTTCTCGCTGTCTTTCTGACTCCGTCTCTCTGGTGAATGCACACACCCTATAGCAAAATCTCTTACAAACAAAACAAAACAAAACAACCCACTAGGACGCAGACCTGAAGCACACAGAGCACAACTTGGTTTGCGGCATGGGGCTGAGAGGAGCCGCGGCTTTAAATGATGTCTCCTGGGACCGGGCTCCCTCCTGGGGGCAGGGGCAGCATCGCAGGTATGAGACGCCAGCACGCAGGCCCAAGGCCGCGGAGCCCCTCAGCCCCTGACCTGGCAGTAGCCGATGCTGGGATTCCGGAAGGCATAGGCGGTCAGTACGCGGCGGAGTGCGGCGATCCCGAGCTCGTTCTGGAAGGCAGGGTGCTCCGGCATGGAGCGGTGGAGGTCCCGCTCAATCTCCTCTGTGGCCAGGCTGTACTTCCCCACGGACTTCCGCACCAGCTCCGCATAGTAGCCGGGGTGAGTCACCATCTCATTCCAGGCCCCTGGGGAGACAGGCAGGGGTGGCTCTCTCCTGTTCCCGGAGCTCTGGACAAGAGAAGGGCCGGCTGGAGACCTCAGTGCCCCACAGAGGGAGGTGGGATTCAGGGGTCCACTCTGGGGTGTGGGCACAGTCCCCATGACTGTCCTGGCAGGGCCACCCCACCCGTGAGGTTGCATAGCTAGCTGCCCTACCCTCTCCTGAAAGGCTCCTAGTGGCCAAGGGTGTGAGCGAGGTCAGGGCCTAGAACCTGTGCCTCTCCCTGTGGGCAGGTGGCGCCCACCCCAACACCTGCCCCTCAGCACCCCCTGGTGGGCAACTGCTCACAGCCCAGAGCCTGGGGCCCTGCAGCTCACGCCTGGTTGACTTCCGGATGTGGAGGGCCCTGGAGCCCTGGAGGGAGCTGGGGGCCGTGTCTGGTGCTCACCGGAGAAGAGGAGCCACAGCTCCCCCCGGAGGCCCTCGGGGATGCCCTTGAGCACCAGCTCCCGGGTCTTGGCCGTCCGGTACATGCACACTCCGCGGCCGTACTCGAAGAAGTGGATGTTCCACGACTCCTCCTTCATCTTCTCCTTGGCCTGAGGGAGGAGCACCCAGAATCTGGAGGCTGAAGCGCGACTCAGAGAGCTGAGACCCGGGGACGGGACCCCTCCTGCCCGCGGGGCAGAGCCCAAGCCAGCCAGCCAGCCGAGCGAGAGTGGGCCGGCCGCCCTGAGGATGCTGGGGAGAGGCAGGCCCGGCTAGGCAGGGCCTGAGTGTCCTCCTGTGGCGTCAGGACCACTACCGGCCCGGGCGGCCTTGCCTTCAGAGCCCGGGAGCCCACGGAGGCGGCACCTGCAAGCTGCCGGTGGCTGGGAGGCGTCCCGGGTACCTAGCTTGGTGCCTGCCAAGTACACCCTAGGAGGGCACTTCTCACAGGCGGGCCCCAGGCGTGACCCCAGAGGCCACCTCTAGCCGTCTCCCTGAGGAGCAAAGCACCAGCACCCCAGCCTCACCCCCTTGGCGCCAAGGTCCTCCATGGGCGAGTTGGTCTGGAAGAGTTTGAGCAGGCCCTGGGAGGCGGTGGGTGGTTCCTGTGCACAGAGGCTTGGGCAGCTGCTGAGCGGGGAGGCCGGGCTGCCGGGCTGCTCCGACAGCTCCTGAGGGGTCGGGGAGGCCTAGGTGAGACAGAGGGATGGGCCCAATCACTGTGCTGCCAGTCACCTCCACTGTGCTGTCACTCCGGCAAGGGAAGGGACACAGCGGGAAGGGAGGGACAGTGTAGGAAGGGAGGGACAGTGAGAGAAGGGAGGGATGGGGCGAGAAGGGAAGGACAGGGCAGTAAGGGAGGGAAGGTGCAAGAAGGGAGGGAGGGGGCGGGAAGGGAGAGCCTGGCTGAGCCAGAGGCCACCCTCCCCAGCTTTTGCCTCCCGGGTGGCCGGGCACCGGGCTTTCCTCCCTGTTCCAGGCCGCCCACTCTGATGAAGCCTCCCAGGGGAGAGGGGTGTGGGGGCTCAGACCGTTCCCCTTCTCCCAGTGAGGTTGGGCAAGGACCGCGGAAGCCCCAAGGACAGCACTCAGAGCCCGGACACTGCCTGAACGCCGGCCTCCGTCACAGAGGAAGCGGAAGGCCCCCAGCCGGAGGCTGGCCCCAGGCTTCGAGTTCCTGCGTAATTACTGCAATGCAACCCAACTTTTTTTGGAAAGACAGAAAAAAGACAGAAAGACAGAAAGAAGCATCGCAACCTCTTAGCGGTATGTCTCTTGTAAAGAAAAACTGTGGGCCAGCAGGCGGCACGGCGGTTAAGGTGGCTGGATCCCACATGGCCGACTGCGCGGTTCAAGTCCAGGAGCCGGAAGCCTCAGAAACATGCTGGGTGTGTGAGCGCTGCTCCAAATCCCAAGAGGATGGAGAAGGGACTGTGGCTTGCCCCACCCCCACCCCGGGTTATTTCTCACTCTCTCTCTCTCTCTGTCCCCACAAGTGCACATGCCCTCTGACAATTAAAAAGTAAATACTAAAAATTTTAATATATGCACAACGTACGTGCCTCGGGGTAGGCTGGACAAGTGACAAGGGTCGGGGCGGGGGTGGCTGGGACAGGCTCTCACTGCACACAGCGGGGTCTTCCCAGCTCTGACAAATCACCCTCTGAGAGGGCCAGGCCTACAGGAGGGGTCAGCCCCGGTGGGCAGATGGACGGTGGCCCAGCTCCCTGGCCCGACCACCCGCTGCTCCCGGGGCTCTCACCTCTGGGGCTGGGGCCACAAGGCCGGCTCTGCTGCCCCAGCTGTGGCCGCCCGGCTGTCTGGACGGCGTTCTCTGGAGGAAGTCAGAGATCCTCTGAACCAGGAAATCGCGGTCCTTCAGGTTGGCAAACAGGAAGGTCATTTTGCTCTTCGTGCTGATGGACAGGGGGCTGGGCAGGACGCTGGAGCTGTCGGCTTTCTCCACGATGGTCACCTGCGAAGCCAAAAGCAGCCTCTTGGGCACCTGCATCTCAGGACGCAGTTGGACGAGCTCTGGGAGCTGAGGCCGCGGGTCCTGAACCTCTCCACGGCCCAAGTGGACTTGCGTGCCCCACGTGACCTGAGGCAGCCGCTGCCCGTCCAACCTGGCCTCTGCCTGCTGATGGGTGCCACCCCACAGGCCTCCCAGCGATGAGGATGAGCGGACAGCCCTCACCGGCTTCCCGCAGGGGCCAGGGCGTCCTCTATTCGCTGCCCGGAGAGCTGCCCTCAGGCTCGGCTCAGCAAGTGCGTCCCCGCTGTGTCCTGGCGCAGCAGGCCTGCTCGGGGGGTGGAGGGCAGCACGGGGTGGCCGGGCGCAGCTACGTGTGGAACTGCGCGTGGTACTCACGTGAGCGTGTGCAGCTGTACGGCACGGGTGTGTGGTATGTGTGTGCATGTGTGCTGACAGGAGCACGTGTGCATGTGTGTTGTGTGTGCACATGTTGGCATGTGAGGGCAGAGGGCTGAGGGGTGCAGCTCACTGCCGGTCTCCCAGCCACAGGAGGCAGCTGGGGCCTCCTCCCAGGAGACCCTGGAGTCCATGCAGGGCGCCAGCGTGCTCAGACTGCATTTTAAATCTCGCTGGCAGTGGGGCGGGCGACACAATGGTCAGGTGCGGCGAGGCCCCCGAGCGGCCCAGGTGGACGACAGGCTTTTGGCAGTGGCTGCAGGGGAGGCTGAGCTCCGGGGCAGGCTCCCGTGTGTCGGGTTGGGCTGCAGTGAGGGATGAAGTGAGGGGAGGCCCAGCTTCACCTGAGCAAGGGATGGAGGGGCCCCTTCCCTGGGGAGGTCCCGAAGGGCAGGGGCAGGGAAGGATGCAAGGGCCCACGAGACTGGCAGCACTGGCTCTGAGCGAAGGCACTCCGGGGGGGCCCAGGCAGGACGCCACGGAGCTGGCCGTTAGGGAGGGGCAGTGCTGGGCTGGGGACAGCCTCCACCCTGGGCAGGGTGGGTTGGGGTCTGCCTCCACTCTGGCCAGGCGCAGGGCTCTGACGAGAGTGTGGACCAGCCCTCCAGAGCGGGTTGGCCAGAACATCAAAGACCCACAGAAGAGCAGCCTGCTCTGGCCTGGGGCCAGGCCAGCACGCGCCCGGACAGGCCCCACGGTCCTGGTGCCCAGGGAGCGGGGAGGGGCAGGCTGTGCCTGGGCCTTGGGAGCTACGTCTCTTCCGAGTCTTTTGCCCGACTCCCCTGGGGAAACCCAGGCAGCGCATAGCCACAGCTACTCGGGCTCTGCACAAAGGCCCACAGGCCGACAGCTTGGGTTTCTTTCTTTCCATCTTTTTTTAAACACTTTTGCCATAGGGTGCATGTGTTCGTAGGAGAGAGAGAGGGAAAGTGAGAAATCACCCCCAGGGGGATGGCCCTTCTGCAATCCCTTCTCCTCCAGCCTCCTCTCAGGATTCTGGGTACACACACGTGCCTAGAGTGAGTTCCAGGCTGCTGCTGGATTTGGGGCTTGAACCGTGGTCATCCATGTGGGAGTCCAGTGCCTTAACCACCATGCCACCTGCTCACCCCAGCTCTGGGTTTTTAATAGAATCCAAATGCTGTGATTTGAGTAATAGCTTAAGAACCTCGCTATGCTTCCCAGAACTGGCGAGCCGGTGCCAGGGGGAATAGCTGTGGGCCTGGCCAACCTCAGGCCCACCTGGGCCTCCTCACTGCCTACACCCTTTACTCAGGGAGGACAGAGGACTGATTTCCCCAGGAACTGTGGAAGCCCAAGGAAGCTGAGAAACAGACCCTCGGACAGGCGAGGGATGGGCTCCGAGGCTGCTGAGGCTGGAGCCGCAGCCTAGGTACCTGTGTTGCGCAGGACTGGTGAGGGGCCCCAGAGAGTGACATGTGGGGACAGGTCATCTACAGCAGCTGAGACAGCAAGGCCTTGCCAAATTCAAAGGTAGGGCCCGGGAAGGGAAGATGGGTGGGTGCTCACCTGCAGGGGTCCCGGGACTCTGAGGTTCCAACTGGGAAGCTTTCCTGGCACCAGGCCATAGGCGAGGCGACCCTCTGGAGCGCCACCCCTCCCACCCCCACCTCCACTGTACGCCCCCGCCCCTCCCGCCCCCACCTCCCCCATGCCTGTGCCACCTGGCTCGGTCGGGAGGGCTGACACACTGCGCACCTTCCCTGAGCCCCAGGGACACTGAGGCTGCCAGGTGGGGGCTCCTGCCATGTGCACGGCAGCGAGCCAGGGCAGGGTGGCATGGCTGTCCCTGGGCCGGAGTGTAGGCTGGCAGCCTGGCCCACGGGAGAGGCGCTCACCTCCCTCAGGGGGATGATGAGGTGGCAGGCGTCCTCCTCCCTGCTGGCAAAGCAGACGTAGTTGTTGGAGATGAACATGTGGCCCGCGATGTGCAGCTTGTTGAAAGGCGTCCACAGGGTGCAGCTCGTGTGGCCGTCCAGCCGCTCGTCCCGGGGCAGCCGGAAGGTGGCACGGTAGCACTCATTCTTGGCTCGGGCGTCCAGGTCTCTGGGAAAGGAGGACGGGGAGACAGGGATGGAAGGAAAGGGATGAGGGTTGGGCCTGTTTCCACGCTGAATTCTGCACCCTGCGGGCCTCCCGTGGGGTCGTCCCCAGGGGCCATTTGTGTACGTGCACGACCAGGCAGGACGAGCGACCCCACTGGCCAGCAGACGGACGCCGCCAGCTGCCTCCAGTACCGAGCCCCTGCGCTCGGCGCTGCCCCGGCTGGGCCCACGCTGCTGATTCCCTCTGGGAAGACCTCACCCCAGCTCAGACCCAGACAGGAGCCCCGTGAGGGGGACACGCATGGGGCTGCTGCCCGGCAGACGTGCTCGCGTGTACGCCCGACGGCCGGGGAGGCGGTGGCCCTTACCCCCCGTAGCTGTCTACACAAGCAGCTCTCCCCAGATTCCAAGGGAGCCTCCTGCCTGCCGTGGGCCGCCAGCAGCCTGACCAGGGCCTGGCTACACACCCTGACAGTGCCTAGCACTGCTCCCAGCCCTGCTCCTCTGCTTTCTGGAAGGTCCCCACTGCCCCCTGTTCCGTGCATCACTGGGGTGACATCCTGGCACTGGGTTCTGGTCCTGCCAAGTCCCAGAGCCTGTGCCCTGGCTAGTCTGTGGTGGTAACGGAACCCACAAGTATGCATGCAGCTGGAGGCCCTGGATACTGGAGTTCCTGGCCGGCCTGTGGGTCTCTGTGAAGCCACAGCTCAGAGCATATGTGGGTGTGAGCAGAAGGGCTGGCTGGCACGAGCCGCTCCTCCGACTAGCAGTCCCCAGTGGGGTGCTCTGACCTCAGGCCTACACATGGCTGGACGCCTTGCAACACGCTGCACGTCCCGCGCCAGAGTGGCTGTAGACCCTAAGGCCAGGCCCAGCTGGGAGGGGTCTCGAGCAGCACCGTCAGCCTGCGCTGGAGCTCAGGTTTGCCAGCGCCTTCCAGATGCGGCCCATAGGGACCTGGAGCACGCAGGCTGCCTGACCGGTGGTTCACACCCTGGCCCCGCTCTAGCAGAGGGACCTCTGTGAGCCACTCAGGCTGTGCCTTGCCTTCCTCCCTGAGACCTAGGGATGGCAAGAGCACTGTCCCTCCTCCAGGCCACCGGAAAGTGAGGCGCCTCCTCTGCATCAGTGGAGGGGTCAGGACACCTGCTGCCCGGGCAAGGGTCCACCGGCCCGCGCACTGGCCTCCTTGGGGGGCCGGCCTGTGCGGGGTGCAGGCCTCCCCACTCAGCTGGGCGCCAGGTCTTGCAGGCTCAGCGCATCTGCTCGGGGGCCTGTGCCTGCACTGGGGCCCTCCCAGCCCTGCAGGGCAACGCACCGCTTCAGAGCCGAGATGTTCTTGTGCGGCCGGTTGGGTCTGGGCAGGGGTTTGTCCTCCAGGAAGCTCTCGTTGTCCAGCAGCTGCCGCATGGCCAGGTTGGCCAGCTGCTCCATGAGCTTGAAGGTCTCGCCGATGTTGAGGAACATGGAGAAGAAGAGCTCCTGGTCTCGGGTGTCCACGCGGATGCTCTCGGGGAAGAGCAGGGTGGCATTCTTCTCCAGCCGCGTGACATCCACCCACTGCACCACCAGGCTCACTGGACGGGCCAGGACAGACACAGCACGCGTTAACGTCGGGCAGGCGAGGCCCCGACTCCTGATGGGCGGGCCCACTGGAGGGAGCTACACCCTGAGGGAGGTGCTTGTGCCTGGCTGCGCTGGCAACGTGCCTAGGCACCAGGCCCCGGGGCTCTGCACCTCCCAGAGCAGCCACTCTATGGCGTTGGCCCCACAGATGGCCGAGCAGTGAGGTGGACACACGTGCGGAGGTGACAACCCAGGTGTCCACAGAGGGCGGGCACACCGAAGGGGACAGAGTCCCAGTGTGGGTGACCGGCACCAAACACGCTGCCTGCCTGGGAAAGCGGTGTTGGGGGAAAGCAGCCGGGCGGAGGATGGAAGCCTGCTCTGAGTGGTGAGGGGTGGGGCTTGGGGGCGGCGGCTGCTCAAAGGCTAAAGCCCTGCAAGCTCTTTCTGGGCGTGACAGTGGCAATGTAGGGGGCTGACCACCAGAGAGGCCTGCGGGTGGGACTGCGGCAGGTGACGAAGTGAACGTGTCCATGATCCTAAGCCAGAGTCCCTCGGGGAGGAAGCGTGCCCCTGAGAACGCTGACCCGAGGGAGGCCCGTGCCTCCATGTGCAGAGCCCTGGAAGGCTGTAGACCGCTGTCTGCAGGTGGGGTCTGGGCACTCCCTGTGGGCTGGCGGGGTGACACCTGGCTTGGGGAGCTCCTCAGACGGGTGTGAAGACTGCTGGTGCTCAGAGGAGGGAGGCCTGCAGGGACTCTGGCATTTGGAGAGGTGGGGAGGTCCCTGGAGGTGAGATGGGGTGTGAGGGCAGGGAGCAGTGGACGGAGCTGGGGCACCGCGGCCTGAGGGGTGCTGTCCCAGTGCACTGGCCTGGCCGTGCTCACCTTCTTTCCCCAGCAGGAAGGAGTAGAAGCACAGGTGGTGGACGGTCAAGTAGAGCCAGCCCTGCCGGGGCACGCGGCCCTTCCAGAAGCTGCAGGAATAGTAGTTGACCAGCTTCTCGCCCTCGGGCATCCCGAACTGCTTCCGCATCTTCAGCTCTGCCTCCTTGAACTTCCCAGGGTCCTCATCTCCCTGGGGCTGCAGGTTCTTGTTCTCTTCTGCAATAACACCCTGAGACAGAGGACTCAGTCAGCAGGCCTGGCCCGGCCTCTGTCCCCGGAGGTGCAGCAGAGAGGCCCAGGGCACCCAGGACTCCCACACCTCCACCTGGGCCGGGGATTGCACTGCAGGTTCTGGGGAGGAAGCGGCCACTCTGGGTGACTCGGAGTCGACGGCTCTGGGCCAGTCCCTGCCGCCCTGGACTGCTGTCCATCGCCAGCTCTGAGCAACAGCCTTACATAAGCGTTTGATTTTCATGGGACACGTCCCGGCCACAACTACGTAAAACGTGTGGACGGCAGGAGGTGCCCAGTGCAGGAAGTCTGCTGTGCCCTGGAGACCGCATCTGGTCTCTGGGAAGCAAACGTGCATTCCTCCCTTCAGCCTTTCTCTGCCCAAAGGGATCCCCAGCGGCCAGCTCTGGGACGTGCCGTCATCCTGGGGTCACTCTGCACTCCGCCTCCTGTACGCTGGGCTTCCACCTCGCCCCTGGCCCCAGACTGGCCACAGGGCCCGTCCACGTCTCCTTGCACTGCCGCAGTGTCGCCGAGGGGGCTGGGGACGCCACCCCGGGTAGAGCAGGCCCTAGGATGCCCAGCTCGAACGCACGCTGGATAAAGCGGTTCCAGGATGGCGCTGGGCCTCTCAGCGGCTGCGTGTCCCTCTGTCACGGGGTCACGGGCAGAGAGGACAGCACCAGCCCAGGGGGCTCCCATGAGATGGGCCTGCTGGGACAGCCAGGGAAGGGACTGGAATGTACCACCCAAAACAGACTTTTCACATCGTCCTTATTTTGAGCCGAAGCCAATTAAGCAGCAGCAAATAAAGGAGAAGGCCTTTCTCACCTCCCCTTCGTACCCGAAAGCAGGCCCAGGTGCTCCGTCACGGAGTCGGCGCCCACGGCCTGCCGTCGGTCCTGCCCCTCCTCTGCCCAGGGCTGCGGGGACCGGGCTCTAACCACGCCCTTGGGTCACTCGTGCTGGGCCTCCCCGCACACGCGCGTGCACACGGACACACGTCTATCTGTCTTGTTACAGAGCCCCAGGCAAGAACCCCGAGGCTAGGACGGAAAGAGACTTTTGCTCCCTCATCTCAGTGCCCTGTTGCACTGAGAACAAAATTAAAAATTTTATTTTTAATTTTTTTTTTAGTTTTCTGTTATAGGGCACGTGCGCTTGCCGAAGGAGAGAGACAGAGAG